TGCTGTTGCTCTTGCTGTTGCTGTTGTTGGTGTTGTTGTTGTTGTTGCTGTTGTTGTTGTTGTTGCTGTTGTTGTTGCTGTTGTTCTTTTTGTGCCTGTTGTTCTTGTTGTTGTTGTTGTTGCTGTTGTTGTTGTTGTCGTTGTTGTTGTTGATGATGTTGTTGATGATGTTGTTGTTGTTGCTGTTGCTGCTGCTGCTGCTGCTGCTGCTGCTGCTGTTGTTGGTGTTGTTGTTGGTGTTGTTATTGTTGCCGTTGTTGCTGTTGTTGTTGATGCTGTTGTTGCTGTTGCTGTTGCTGCTGTTGTTGTTGTTGTTGCTGTTGTTGTTGTTGTTGCTGCTGTTGTTGTTGATGATGTTGTTGCTGTTGTTGCTGTTGCTGTTGCTGTTGTTGTTGTTGTTGTTGTTTTTGTTGTTGTTGTTGTTGCTGCTGTTGTTGTTGCCGTTGTTGTTGCTGTTGCTGTTGCCCTTGTTTTTGTTGAGTTGTTATCTGCTATCGTTTGTTCTTGTTGTTGTTGCTGCTGTTGTTGTTGGTGGTGGTCGTCGTCCCCCACGTCAGACGCTGATGTAGAGGACTTGGGCTGGAGATGCCGAGATTCTTCGCTGCAGCACTTGGGCCGCCGGCCTCGCGAAGATGGCCTTGTGCTCGGACGAGTGGAGACCCTGCGTTGGCTTGCCGTCTCTTCGCTCGCCACGCGGCTGTGACTGGCTGCAACCCTGCGCGGCGCCAGAAGTTCTCGGACCCAGCCCTGCGCAATCATCATATGCCCATCAAATGGGAAGGGACCGAAAGCGAGATGGCTTATTATGAGTGATCCGAGTGTGGCATCGTTATGTCCTTTGGCAACGCCACGCCTGGCTTTCAGCATTACAGCTTGCAATTCCAAGCGTCTTGCCAGCATCCAGGCGGAATGGATCAAGGCAGCGCCGCCACCGCTGAGACTTCCGACCCCGTCAATGTACAGGACTTGCCGGCCGCACTCTAGGGAGGCCTCGAGCCCACCGAGGATGCAGCAGCGGGGCACATAAGCTGCCAAGCATATCTCGCACGCCAGCTCCAAATCTTCGCGTGCCACTGGCTCGTCACCGCGTCCTCCCGCCAAGCGTGCCAACCTTCAGGGCTGGAAAGAGGCGCATCCGCAGGTTCTGGTTACAACCTCCCAGGTCCTAGGACCCTAGGATTTGTGCCGGACGAGAACCGACACGTTTAACAACTCGCACATTATCCGTCGTGCAGTGAGGCCCAACGTGCTCTGGGGTGCCACTTGCTGCACGACAACACCAGCGGCATCTCGTAAAGGAGGAAGCGCTTCCTCCTAGCAAGGACAGTCAGATGGTGAGAATAGCCTCTGCGACGGGCACTCCGAGGTCTGCACTTACTGCGCAAAGACATTGCTGTCTGCCACGAATAATTTGCATCCTGCGCGCAGTCCTCGTCCTGATCTTCATCAGTGGTGTAGTCTGTGAAAGCCATGCTGGATGGTGTCTGATCCTCGCATGTGACAGGCCGCACCTGTCATACCCCCGAGGAAAACCGTATCCATAACCTATTAGCACACACTGCTTCGTGCTTTAGGCCGTCGTGAGACCCTGCCTCCCTTGCGGAGTCGGCGGGCGACAGCACATCGTCTCTCACCTGGAACACGGCATCGGGCAGCACGCCCTCATCTGTCTCTGGAGTAACTTGAGTTGACTCGGATGGCGCCCGATCCACTCTCAAGTTGTCTTGCCCACCAGTTGAAGCTGCTTTGCAACTTTCCAGTTCCATGTCCAGTGCGCTGTTGACGACCTCGACCGCCTGCAGCTCGTCACCGAGCTTGACCTGACAGAGGGGCATTGACTGTGCACCCTCACGTCCTCACTCCGTCTTGCTTGCTACGTCTCTACCGATCTCGGCACTGCTACTTAAAGGTCGCTGCATTGTCGCCCTGCTACCCTCATTTACTAGGCATGGACCAGAAAAGAATTGCAGAATTGACCAAGCCACCTGCTGGTCGTCCTCGTGCATGATCCCAGCAAGCTCTGTTCCGTGCATAACTTCCTCCGAGGCTTCAAGAAGAGCAGCATGAAGCCTCTGAGCGCCTGCCGTTGAGTCTGGCATGTCCGTGCTGTCCTTTGCATCCAGCTCACGTAGGCCCAATGCTTTGAAGGAGATCAACGTCTCATGCAGGTGTGCTGCCATCTCAGATGATTGCTGAATGCCTCGTTTGGCACACTGCCTTGCCTCCCTGCCCTTGCATGCTTGGGCGATGTGTGAATCGGCTTTTGGATCAGAAACATTGTCCACGGCAACCTGAACCAATTCTGATGTGTTCTCGCCCAAAGCCGGCACCCTCAGCTGCAATTCACCGCTTACGCTTCGTGACAGCTTTGGACTTGACAGGGCGAGCACTGCGCATTCCCGCTGCAGACAGGTAGCCGGCCCGGCGGCACAGGGTTTCGGTACCTGGACGAAGGGCGATGAAGTAAGCTGGAATTGAAGATGTCCAGGGTCAGTTTGCACGTCAGGTTGCCAAGACAACTGCTGCGCAGGAAATGAACCAGATTAAGCCCAGCGGCACCCGGCCCACAGGCAAAGGCCTTGGTCACGACAAGTCCATACGTCTCAAATCCCCGCCCTCCATGGACCTAACTTGCCCATGAGCCTGCTCTTACGCTCTACGATGTGGGCGAGAAGTACGCATGCCAGCTGCTGACAGATAGCCGGTGAGGATGTCGGTACCTCGGACGAAACATAATGAACGGAACAAATTGGTGCGTCAGGTTGCCAAGAGAAATGCGCTGCAGGAGATGAATCTGATTTCGTCAAGCGGCACCCGGCCCACAGGCAGAGGCGATGTCATGCTTTTGCAAAAGAAGGACAGGTGCTTGTGACACCGGCGACATGTTCCTGAAGCAGCGGAAATTACAACACTGGCACAATGCGGCGTGCACCGTCAAGCCAATGAAACCTCGAATCCCAACACCGACACATGTCCCTACCCCCGTCCTTGACCCGTTGTGCCCTGCATTGGAACGGCAAAGCGTGGATGCAATCTGCAAGCTGGAGCCCACTGGTGGCGGCAACACTCTCAAGTCAACTCAGTAGTTGTACAAGTCACAAGCGACATGTTATTGCTTGGATCGTTCAGACTACATTTCCTTTAGCAGACAGAGCTTAGAGTTTTAGGTCCGACACACTCCTCGAACTGTTTGATTTGGGGCCTGTTGAGACAAGAATGGTTGCAAAACGCGCAGCGCCCTCAGCAAACAGCTGGAGGGTGGGTTGGGAGATTTAGGAGAATCTTGTAGCAGAGTCGAGACTCCGCAGGTCAGGGTTTAGGGTTTAGGGTTTAGGGGGAGCCCGAATGGCCGGGCCTTGCAACAATCCTCGGAGTTTGCAGGTTCCTACCCGGCGTGATGACTTGGGCACTTGACGGCCTGATCAGCACACGTGCACGGGCCAAAGGTGCGAAGAAGGTACCTGGGTCAACTACCGGCCCCCAAAAGTGTGCAAGCAAGTTGCAAACATGCGGCAGGAGCAGGCAAGAACAGTTGAAAAGCGGTTCATGTGGCCGCATGTAGCAATGCCCTTCGAGCAGCATGCGCTTCGAGAGCCAGTACGGACTGCCAGCTGTTTGTGTGCCTGCGGCTGAAGCGATGTGTTACATCAAATCAAGTTCCCAAGTTCCTACCTTTTGGAGGCGAGCCGGCACCCAGTGTGGACCCTGGAAGCAGGCGTTCTGCCGGTGACCGCGCAACCCCTGCCACGACTCATACAACGCAAACCTCTGGCCAGGTCCGAAAAGCCCGCCAAATGAGCGGCCAGAAACTTTCTGCCCCTTTTTGCGGCTGATTGATGGGGTTTGGTCAGGTCGGTAAGGACTCCTGCTCATCTACGGCCACATATCGCTTGCGCCTTCACGGCAACGGCTACGCTGCAGAGCGGGAGAGTTACCTCGGTCAACTACCAAAAGCGTCACGCAAGCACGTTGCAAATGCGCTGCAGAGGCGGGCCAGGTCGGTCGAAAAGCGTGTCATGTGGTGCGACAAGCCACATGCCTTCAAGCTCGAATCTGAAAATTAAGCGGTCGGTGACGTAACCCTTAACTTTTTGTTGGTTGAATGCTCTAGGTTTCAGGTCTAGGGTTTCGGGTTTAGCCCCCTGATTTAAACAAAGAGTTTCGGATCCAGAGTTTGAGGTTGGCGTTATCTTTCAGGCAGCTTTGGCGACGTCGCTTTTGGCGGTTGCCTGGGGAGTGTTTCGCACTGAAGCCCAGACACTTGCAAGCGCAACACCGATGCAGATCCGCCAGAACATCGCCGATGAAAGCATAGCTAACGTCCGAGCTTCTCGCAGTGCAACTATCGGGCAGATGCAAGCTTGAGAATAAGGGTTCTATATGGTTCCAATGATGCTTCTGTAAGGGTTCTCTGGGACAGGGTTAAGCGGGTTTCGCGATTGGGGTTTACCACGCCGGGCGAATACGTGGTCACTAGAAGCTCATGTTGTGATCGAAATGCAAACTAACTCGTAGAGTAATCGGTTGCTGGAGGACGCTGGCAGAGGCAGCTTGCACCGGAAAACTGTACATGTCAGAATCCCGAAAACGCACCAGTGGCTCGGAGCTTGCTTCCCCGACAAAGCTGCCCGAACCAAAGCAACTCTGCGTGGAATGCACGACTCAGCTAGAGCAACTCAGGGTGCTTCGACAACATGGCCAAGATGTGCACAAAAACCCCCCGAAATCATGCAGCGCTCACATGCATCCGCACCCAGAGACTACGTCGGAGCAGGTCGAAATCATTCGAACTTGCTCTGCTCAGCTTCGAGCAGAAAAATGCATTGAAACACTTCGTGTACATGTAGTGGGCATCTGGCTGGATGTGCTAGCCACACAAGGTTATATTCGATCAAAAAGGAGCCGTCTTGTGACGACATTCTCCCCAGTTGCCGAACCGCTTGCTCCAGATCGCTAGGGCTGCATTTGAAAGGCGGATCTTGTTGCGACAGTGCTTCGAGCTGCTGCGTCCACGCAACACATATGCGGCTTTGCGGTAGCGATGGCGGCAGTGATTTGCACGCTGTTGCAAGAGCGCAGGCCTGCGACTGCGAGGGCAACTTGGTCTGCCCAAGCTGAAGACAAAGTGCAAGTGCGTCATCATAGGCCGCCCAAGGGTGAAACGCGGCCAGAGCTACTGCATGTTGCTATGCCCAACACTAGACCTACACACCTTCAGGCCTTTCAGACAACGGAACGTCGCGACAAACCGAGTCCTGCTTGGTCGTAGGGTTAGAGGGTTTTGGCGTTTAGGGTTTTTGGCGGCGTACAAGCAGGGAAGAACACATCTATGCACGAATGTACAACAAAACGAATGTATGTAAGCAACCAGATAGAATTACGCATGTTCCTAAGTTCCTATACACCCATACACTCAGGTATCAGGTTCTTATAGGTATGTACATGTGTAGAGTAGACTGACTAGTTCTGCTGAGCCCTTAACCCTGGCCTTCACCAGTGCAGCCTGCTTAAAGTAGGGACCGTGACAGCTTTGCTTAGCTGTTGGAGCGCCAGCCATACTTTGGCACCTGGGCACTTTCTTAAAATCAAAAGCTTGCAAGCAATGTTGTTGCATCGTGGCTTGGGGACATGGCATGATCTCTACATACGTGATGACGACGTACTTACTCCAGATCTCCGGGAACCCATCCAAACTGCCAAGCGATGCGGTTGGTCTACAGGCTTGCGGGTTTAGGGGTCGTCCGAGACACGTATTTTGCAGATTGCCGTCTCAGCCATTTGTCGGTCGTTCCTGGCCCAGAGACAAGTTGCACACTTGCATGTGCACTCCGAGGCCGCGCACGCGCCTGGCATCAAGCCCTGGAGTCGTCATCACGATCGTCTGCGATGAGAAAGACCAAACGAGCTCAAGGGAATCTGACTCTGCCTGCATTCGGGCTCCAAGGTGAGAAGGACATGAGCCAAGCCGATTCCGCAGACAGCTCTGAAACTGTCGGAATGACGATACCAACCCATGCCAGCAACAAGGTCCGCCAACACGAGAGCCTCAACTCTGAAGCTGCAACGACTTCGCGAACCGTTGCTGTCGCATGGTTTTCGGGCCTTGCAAACCCTGTATCATTCCCTCTAGTGTATTGTTGTGTCATTTTTGCTGTGCGGCAAACCTGCTTTGCAAACAAATTCATGGAGGTACAGCCTGCACATCCGCAAACCTATGGTGGAAACGGGCTGAGCATCAATGAGCTTCCGATACATATGGGCAGTTCTCTAAATCAAAAGGGGTCCTTTTTTATAAGGGTGCCGTACTATATTGGGGACCCTAATTTAGAGAACTACCCATATGCGCTTGGTGGTTTTCACTTTGCATCCCGTGCCTCGGTAAAGAGGGGCAACGCCAACTCGATGACGAAGCGCTGAAATCCACCTCCACCGCTGCTGCCACTGCGCTCTCTCCAACAAGTGCCGGCACGTATCCTGCTTCGAAACCGCCCTCCATGGCCTAAAGATCTCCACGACGCGGATTTTTCAGCCGAAGAATTGGTCCAAGTCGCTGCATCTCGGAGGACCTCCCAACAAAACGAGCAAAGCTGACAGCCATGACCCAGAATGCAGCTAAAAAAACTGATGGCGATGAACAATAGAAATAGTAACAACAGCAAAACCAACAACAATCGGAACAGTACAAACGCAGGAGAGGAGGAGGAGTAGGTGCCAGCCTGCTCCTGTGACTCCCGCTCTCTTTCCTTTTGCTCCCTCGCAGCCGTTTCAGCGCCTACTGGTTCAGTGCTCGCTTGTCCACACTGGACAAGTTCAGGCGTTTGGGTGGGCTTTCAACTTGCATGCAGCTTAAGGTTTAGATAGGGCTCTTCTTAGACAGGGTTTTCTATTAGATAGGGTTTGTATTAGATAGTTTTCTTTTTTAAATGTGGTTTAAGTATTAGATAGGGTTTTCTATTGGATAGGTTTTTCTGTAGATACGGTTTTTCTGTTAGATATGGCTTTCCTGTTGGAAAAGGTTCTCCTCTTAGGCAAGGTTTTCCCATCAGCTAGGGATTTCCCACTAGATGGGGTTTAAGTATAAGACAATGGTGAAGGGTGTTCTTATTTCAACTGACTTGGCTTAGCTTGGTTTGGCTTGGCTTGGCTTTGATTAACTAGCCTCAGGTTTTGGCATGGCGAATCCTGATGAAAACGCACATTCGAAAGTAGTTGTAATGGTAGGAATGGTAGTAGTAGTAGTTGTTGTTGTTGTAGTAGTTGTTGTTGTAGTAGTAGTTGTAGTAGTAGTAGTAGTAGTAGTGGTGGTAGTGGTAGTGGTAGTAGTAGTAGTAGTAGTCGTCGTAGTAGTAGCAGTGGCAGTGGCAGT